TAGTCTGCTGAACGGGTGTATGAGATTGTCCTGGTTGAAACGTGACCTCCACGTTAGTGGCCTCGGGGTTGTCTCACTGCAAGCAGCCGCCCTCATCCATCAGCCTCTCATGGATTCATCAAAACGCAGAAGTACCTCCCGACTTCCAAATATGTATTTCAGCTTTTTGCCTTTGCCCGTTTGGGAAGCAGTGGGGGGGAAAAACCCCGCTGTGCATGACTAGAGCTTAACTATTGCGCTCTTTAGTGGAACCAAACTCCCAGCATCGCCTCTGTGTTGCCGTCCCTTGGGATAGCATCACCTGGCAGCTCAGCAGGATGGACACACTGCAGACCGGAGGACGACGCATCCCTGCTCAGGAGCTTTTTGGGTGAAGGCAGTGGGGGTTTCGTTCCAGAAAGAGCGCAGCTTGCTTTCCCAAGCGAGGCGGTTTCGCCCCGTGGCTGTCGGCCGAGTGCTCCCTCCTTACCTCGTAAGGACATTCTGGGAGGCAAAGCCAGCGCTGAAGGAGTCAGTTCAAGATACTTCCACAGTAAACAATAGTAGCAATGTATACACTGGTTACAGATTTTTACCTGTTCTACAAATATTTGTACACTGTAAAGCCTGACAGGTAATGGGAACTCATCCCACCCCACCCCACAATTAAGAAAATATTCCTCTATGCCTCCTTTACGCTGAAAACAATTCTTTCCGAGTTAGCTGCAAAAGAAAAAAACATAGCACAAAAGGCGTGTTTCAGCTGAATACGAAAGAAATCAAGGACCAGCAAATACAGAAATCGTTTCTGGAAAGTATTAGCGACTTTTAAGCTTAAACTTCATAAATATATTGCAATAAGCAAGTGTGATTCTATCAACGGATGGGCGTCTGAAGACACTGGGTCTGTCCTAACGCTGCAATTAATTTGCTATTTGGCCTCGGGCATAACGCTTCACTTCTTAGTTTCCCACGCCACGAACGATGGTGTTGTGGGGGGAAGAGGAGACATTTGTGCATCGGTGCCTTCTCCTCTCCGTGCCGTGGCATGAACCCTGCGCTACGCCGGGGAGGTACCGGAGCGGCACCGCAGCTCCCTGACCCCACTGCTGAGCCTCCCCGCCTGCCCCTGCGCTCCTACGGCTCCGTCACTTCCAGAGGAAGAAGGAATTTCTACAGCTAAAAAGAGCTAAAGAAGTGCTGCTACAGCAGTCCTTGAACTACACAACCGAACAGATCGCTTTTTCCTTTGAGTTTTGGGATGCTGTGACTTCACGAACCAAGTACCATAGAAGTGAAGCTCATATTTTTCCCAAATAGCCAAAATTTGCTCATGGATGTTTAATATTACAAGCAAAAGGAAATGACTAGCTACTTCACTTGTTAGTCATGAAGATGGTTCCTACTGGATCAGTAATGAAGACGCGAGAATTAATTTATTCGGGAGTCAGTAAGAGACTGATGAATCCAGCCCACCAAGACAGGAGATGTAATTCTCTGTGTGTCTGAAGAGACAAGCTCTTCACCCACACAAATCCCTCTGGAAATGCACATTTGTCTCACCGAAGTGCAAGTTACCCACAGGTATCAACACTGATCGAACACTGTCCTGGAGCAGTAACGTTGGCTGTGGCATCGCTTGGCCCTCAGAGTCATCCGTCAGTCCAGTTCTCCACAGTCCCCATCCCTGAATGATACTGCAGCGACGACTCCCTCGACAAGGAAAAGCTCTGTGAGTACAGGAACTCATTCGCTGCGTTTAGGTGCGGAGAGGGGGGTTTTCTCTCGCACACAGACGGGTGCACCCTTTCCCTCGGGAAAGATGAAGAAGGAACGCGCTCCCGAACCTGAGACTGGGACAGCTGGTTGTAGACACTGAAGTGGCTGTTACCTGGTGGCTGCGAGCCTTGACCCGTGATGGACGGGAGCCGCGGCATCATGGTGGTGGCAGTAAAATGAGCAGGGAAAGGCTGGTAAGGGACAGTTTCCATTGTCTGAACACTGTAGCTGGTGTAAGGTGCGACAGAAGTCCACATATTGCAGCTCAAGGGGGGAGGTGGAGGCGGCAAGTCGTCAACCGTTGAGACACCAGCGATTTCAGCCCCAGAACTAGAGTACATGCACGCTTCCCTCGGCGTCACCTCGCTGCAATAGGAAGGGCTTAACATCTGCTGATCGTACGGAGGCGGGGATCGGAAATAGTGATCGTCTCCTACAGAAGAGGAGGCTTCCAGGTAGGAGCGTTTGCAGGGCAGGTCCAGGTGCCGAGCACTTTCTGCAAACAAACAAAACGCATGTTGAGGAGCAGCTCCCAGAGCGACGGCGTTTAACAGCAATCTGCTCAGAGCCTGGGGTGGTTTGATGGAGTCCCCTTAGAAGCCGAGCATGCAATCTGTGATTATTTCGCTGAGCAACTGGGGCTCTTTTTCAGATAAATCCAGTTAAACCATTTTCGTTTGGAAAGACAATGTACAACATCAAAAAGACATTGTGTTGCAAATGTCAGGCTAATCCCCTCGGCCTCAAAGCATTCTGGTGACATTTATCAGGTTAAGTGAGTGACTTGGGCTACTACTCTCACATCAGAGATTACTTCACGTTCATCCAGATAACAGAGGTCCCTGACACTCTTGCAGTGTTACTCCTGACAAATTCAAGAAGTCTCTTAAAGGGTCTTATCGCAGCCTGCCTTCCTGTCATTACAAAAATGACTATACATTTCCCAGATATTCATGTCAAAAGCTGCAGAAATATTTCCAGATAAAGGAGCCCTTTCCCAGTCATCAGTCCTTCCCTCAGCTTTGCGCTGAGAAGCTGGAGCCCCTCTCCTACACATTACGATGACCGTGGCCGTGTTTACCAGCAGCTTTCTGTTAGTTGTTAGGAATATTCTCTGGATGAATTACTGAATTCATCTGCAGATTAAACATCTGCTGAAATTACACATTTGCCTTGCAGTCCTCATTACTGGTGCTATTAGATTCTGCATTTGCCCATGATCAGAGGATTCTCACAGCTTAAATAAATTAGCGGCCAATGAGACATGCAAATAGGACTTCTTTCTGTGCACAATTTTTCCGTTTAACTTAAAATATGCCATGATCTCATCTGGTGCTGGACTAAAAGGAAGAGAATGTAGTTACAGCTCACTTAAGCTTGAGAACTAGTGGAGAAGAAGAAAGGGATGCTTACACACAGCTACCACAGCCCCACTAATCTGCAGACATCGAGAGAATTGCTAATGGCTTCATCCTGGAGAAGTGCTGAATGTGTATAATGTCATTAATGCTAATGGCAGTGTCAGAACATCTCAGGATAGGTAAGGCCTCCTCCAAACAATTATTAATTCAGCTGATTCTAACAATGGATAATTTTCCAGCGTAGCTTCATGCCTTTTGAATTATGTATTCTGATTATTTTTTTCAACTCTTACTCAGAGCCTGAATTTGCCTTCTATGGGACAAAACCACTAGTAACTGCCCAAAAACCCAGCTCTTGGGCCGTGACCCTCCAAAACACTTTGATCACATCAGTATCTTTGGAGATCAAGGCCCAAGAGACCGATCCAAAACAAACTGGAATTAGTGATAAGTCTTTTGGTGCTTATGCTCTTAGCTTTATTTGCTGTAGTATTTTTCTAGCTATAAACTCAAGTTACCTCTTCTTTTTAGGCAATGATAGAAGAGCCCTGAATCTCTCTGTGCTGTGAAGGTGTTGAGTGGAAGATCTTGAGTATCTGAAGCTGCAAATTGCATGTGAGCACCGTTCTCATACTGATAATGTTGAAGGGTCTGGTGATTCCCGTGAAGTGGGTTAACATCTGGCTTTGTTGAAAGCTGGCCGTGACTGGACACCAACCTCTGCCTCATGATGCTTTTGGAGATCACTGGATATTCTTTGCTAAAAGAGGTGAGAAGAATTATTACCAGTTAGACAGCAATCAGCATTAACAGAAAGATGAAGTATTAGTTTGGCTTCCCTAGAGCATCTCCATCCAATGACGTCAACACCCTTTGCCAGATAGGATGAACTCATCACACTCTGCTGGGGGTGGGCAAGTACTAGGACAGCACACAGAGTCTGTCCCTGAAGGGACAGGAAGAGCTTTTCAGGGGTAGAAATGGCATTAAAAGCCCTAATGCCCTCAAGCACAAGAAAATGTGATGCCCCCGCGGTGTAGGCACCTTTTAACTTCTTCTTCTCCAAAGAGGTGCAGCACATTAGCAGCAGAACGAGGATTAAAGCCGAGCTGTACGGCTGTATTTCTGCACAGGGCAGGGGTCTGAAGGGCGCGCTGGCTGGCTGCGCGTCGC